CGTCTCGAGGCACAGCTGTCAGGATTTATGAGTCTCCATGGTACGCAATGCAGGCTGAGACTCTACCGATCCTGACAACAAGGCAGCAACGCTCGTTTTTGTGCGGCACGCTTTTCAGGACGTGCGCGAGGATGTGTGATGTGCACTTCTGGCCAACCGACACCACAGCTGCAGAACCATTCGGGTCTCTGAATGATCACCTATCAGGAAAACAGAACTGGACATTTTGTGCCGGTATATGTGCGGATGCAGCGGCTGCCGCGACTGGACAGCCTTCTGGTTTCACTACGCGGGTCAAAGAGGCTGCTTCTGAATGGGAGTTTACGCATAGCGTCACTCATAGAGAAACGCTGGCTAGCCAAAAAATGTCACCTGAACTCAGCAATGTTTTGCCGAACGGGATTAAAATTATCAGCTACAAGCCGGGCTTGGTGGCTCAGCCTGTAATCCCGCGCCTTTGGGAGGCTGAGGTGAGTGGATTGCCCGAGCCCGCGGGTTCGAGACCCGCCTGGGCAGCGAGACCTCATCTCTACAATAAATCAAAAAATCAGCCGGGCATGGTAGCGCACGCCTGTAATTCCGGCTACTTGGAAGGCTGAGGCGGAAGGATCGCCGGAGCCCAGCAGGTCGAGGCTGCGGTGGCCGGGAGTGGCCACTGCACTCCAGTCTGGGCGGCAGAGTGAGACTCCAACTAAAAAAAAAAAAATTATCAGCTACATTAAAGGACATGTCCTTAACTCACGTCTGTCTGTAGAGCTCTGTGAGGAGATGGACGCAGCACACACGTCTTCTCTCATACACAGAAGTGAGATGGCTTTCCAAAGGTAGGTGACTGGCCAGAGTGTTGGAATTCCGAGAGCTGCTCCAGATATTTCTTTTAGAAAAACAGTCATCACTGGCCACACATTTCAGTGACATAGAATGGGTCCAAAACTTGCTTGTGTGACATATTTAACCTTCTCCAGGAACTCTGTCTGTCACTGCGGGAGAGTACCGCAGCTGTGTTGGCAGATAAAGTGGCTACATTCAAAGCCAAATAGGAAATACGGAGATGGCAAGCGAACGTTGGGATTTTTGACACGTTTTAAACACCAGCAGAGATTCTGAAAGAGACTGAGCCAGGACCGTCTTTCTCCCAGCTGGTGCATGGTCGCCTGCGTCCGCTTTCAAAAGTTTGAACATCACTGCCCAGCTGCGGAAGACCCCCGGACTGGGAATGAGCCAGGTGAATCGACGTTGCCCATGCCAGAAGGGGATCAACTGCTTGAGATCGCAGATGACGGTGGCCTTTAAAGTAGACAATCTCAAATCTCCCTACGTTCTGGATTAAAGTCGAGGTGGGATATCCTGGGACTGTCGCAAAGGTACTGAAAAGGCTGTTTCCAGTTCCAACACCCTGTCTTTGTGAAACCGGGTTTTCTGTGGTGACAGCGACCCCATAAGAGATGACGGAGTAGACTGGACATAAGCAACACACTCCAGATGTCACCGTCTTCCGTCACCCCCAGATGGGACCGTCTAGTTATAGGAAAGCAAGCTCAGAGCTCCCACTGAACAAGAACTCGAACCAGGGTCAGACTAAACACAGAATTAGAAAAAAATGAGACACCAAATCCTAGAGGGGAACAAGAGTCTGACGTTGCTCAGTGGAGACCTGCGTAAGGCCGACTCCACCACCGTGCCAGGGTCTGGTGACTTGAGGCACGAGGGCTCATGTCTTTGTACTTCATGCCAACAGAAAACACTCACACAGCAGACAAACAGAAATACAGAGTTTCATATACACCTAAAGGTCAGCAGATCTGGGCTGCTCAAGTCCTTGGGACACAGCAAGTTCAGAGACAAGGATGGATTGTTTCTGGTTTCCAGACCCCCGTCCTTTCAGTTTTGAAAGTGTATTGAGTTGAGTTCTTCACCTCTCAGCACTACATTCCTGAAGAACACAGCCACACAGTGTGAGCCTAGGCAGAGACCCCTAATGTGACATTAGGCTTCTGACCACAAGGACAACCAGACCCCTGGGACCCCAAGGGCATTTTTGGCCGATACCTTGAGATAATCGGCTCACACGTGCACATTAACCATTCCAAAGCAGACCTCCTGAAAGACCAGAAGTACACTCATAGGCAGCATCAGCCTGGGAAACTGGAAATCGCATCAGGTAACTCCTCCACCAGGACACACACTTTCAAGAGGTAATGAATTCCTCAGCTGACAGTGCCCAGACTGTGCGTGGCCATCAGAAAAGACAAACTGAAATCCATTAAGCCCACTGTCACTTTCTGAGCCAGACGGGGCCTTCAGCAGCAGAAGGCACCCAATGCACTCTCAAAAGAAATGAGCCTTCGGCCAAGGTTGGCGGGTGCAGGAGTATGTGCTTAGAACTGCAGCCCTGGGCCAATGGTAATTCATACCAGGTCTTCGTTGTGAAAATAAAACACAAGCTCCCCCACAAGCCAAGAGTTCCGCTGGAAAATAAGAACCCCAAGCCGGCAAGGACACGGTGCTCGCCCTTCCTGGTCCTGGCCCACGTCCCGCTCCAAGGTGTGCTGAGCTGTGCCCACCGTGGTCCCAAGCAGGCAGACGGGCCTCCCACCCTGGTTGTCACAGCCTATGGCCTTGCAGCTGCCCAGAACAGACCAGGCCGCACCGCCTCCCGAGCGGGGGTTCTTCAGGTGGGGCCCAGCCAGCCCTGATCAGCCCACGCGATGGCAGTGGGAGAAGGCTCTGCCTCCTCCAGCCGCACTCTGGGCCTGCTTTTTTCCAGAATGTGAACCACCCAGAGGGCATGCGCTGGAAGCCAAGAGGGGAGGTTCCCACTGCATCTGTGGCTCCAGGACAGGCTCCGACAGGAGGGGAGGAAAGTGCTGAGTAAGTGGATGGGGGAGAAGCTGCGTGCCAGCCTTCTGCGCCCCCATAGCCCAGAAAGCCACACAGAATCTCCTCTGTGAAGAGTTTCACAAATGACAGAGCAGAACCGCGCCAGATGAAGGCGCCTCCGAGCAGAAGGCGGAGGCCCACATCCCCCGATGCTGTGTTTCTGTACAAACAGACACAGTGCACACAATGGACGCGCTCACACAAGAAGTCTGGAAGAGCACAAGCAGAGCATGGGCAGTGCACACCCAGTGCAGCCAGCCACACTTCGGGGAGCGGCTTTACCGGCGAGCTGCCTTACTCTCTCTGAGTGGGGAGAGACCGCAGGCAGCTGACGTCTTTTCCTGCTTCTCTTTCTCCCAAGTTTTCTCGACTATACACGCATCGCTTCAGCACTACACATATGTGAAACTGTTTAGCACCCAGATGCATCCATTGAATACCGAGTGGATGCCTGTGTAGCCCTCTGTGCATTCGAGTGTTTACACGAGTGTAATCTGTAAGACAGCTGAGGGAACCAGCATGGCTCTGTCACTCCACAGAGAAAACAGGCTCTGGCACGCTACGAAACTCAGCCCAAGTCAGAGCCAGTTACTGAAGGATCGAGGAACAAGCGCCAATCTCCTTGTCCGAACTCCATGAGCTCAGTTTTCTTTTTCTTGGCATCTGCTGTGTCTGCCCACTGCCACGCCACCCTGAGCACGCCCCATTTCATCTGAGCTTGGGAGCTAAGCAGGGTCGGGCTGGTTGGTACATGGGGGAATATCTGCTCCGTCTGTGGTCTCCGTCTGTGGCCACTTGCGGCGCAAACCCCACAGGACGATGCCTCGGGGAACAGAAACAGCAGGATTAGCACGTGAGATCGAAGCAAAAGGAAACACACACATCTTCCAACCACAGGCTTGGCCGAGGGAGGTGCGAGGCCTGGGGAGGCTGCAGTGAGGCCTGGGAGGACAGAGAGCCTGCTGGCCTGGACGCCCGTTTGCAAGCCCGGCTCTGTCCCACCCCACTCAGAAAGGAGAAGGCAACACGGCAAAGCGGAAGCAGGAGCGCGGGGAGAAGGGCACACGGCCCCAACCACGGCAGAGGCCAGGCAGCTCTGGAGAACGGGACGCAGACACGGCAGGGCCCAGACAGGCCTGAGAAAGAACCCGGCCCCGCTGGCCCGAAGCCCAGGACAGGCGCGAAAGGCGGCAGGAGAGACAGCCGGTACCTTCATTCCGGCGGCGGCAGCCGGGCCGCTGGGGTCCACAGCCTGGATGTGGCAGGGCTTACTCCCTCGCACCACAAAGCCCCAGCCCACCGCGTCGCCGACGATCTGCAGAGGAAAGCATCCGCGTGAGCGGCGTCCCTGGCGGCCGGCCTGCCAGGGGCCGGGCCGGGCCCACGTGTGCCATGACCGAGCATCCCTCTGGGTCTCGATCAGGGAGCGGAGCACACGGCTGTTCTCACGGAGGCGCTGCCCAGGATGCGGTTCAGCAGACGAGGCAGGCGGCCTCTCTTCAGGACGTGCCATGGCTGGGAGGCCCCGGAGACGCGGTCAAGTGTCCCTCCAGACATGGTTTCTCCGAGCTCGCTCTCTTTCCCTGGACCCATGTGAGACGTCACCAAGATCTAGAGTGACGACCAAGTCACTAAGGGCACGAAGACTCTTGGCTTTCTAAAAACCAATTTTCTCCACCAAGAAGAAAAAGTGAAAAGGCACCTAAATTTACAGTCCACAAGCGGGCTGTAATCAAAAGTTGTCCACTACCAGAGGGCGCCTTCTTGGCAGAAACTGTCGCTAAGACCTGCAGGGACACTCTGTCACAGGCCGACACACTTGACACAAATCCCGCCTAAACAAACAAGACAGTCGCTCTCGATAACGAACAGTGATGGCACCTCATGCAAAATCACAAAGATCTACTATCTCTTGAATGCTGGAGACTGAAGACACAGACGCAAATGGGAATTTTTTTTGGAGTGGAAAATTCTCAAAAGACTTTGAGGCCCATCCATGGTTTTAGGGTTTGCTGCTGCTGGCCTGTCCACCTCATTTCACCTTCAGTGCACACATCACCTTCTCCCAGACACAGATGTGCCATCGGTGTCCTTCTGCCAACTCCTCATACTCAGAACTGGGAGTGGTCCTTGCAGGAGTGTGCAGCGTGACCAAGTACGGACAGAAAGTCAAACGAGGAAGGAAAGAGAAGGGTGTCAGGAGGGCGTCGTCAGGCCGAGAGGGGGCCGAGAAGGGGATGGGGGCAGGAGGCGTCCACCGCTCACTCTGATTCCAGGGGACGGGAGGGGGTGGGCAACGTCCCCAGCTCACTCTGGTTCTGGGGAAGGGTCCAGCATCACAGCAGGAAGCTGAGGCCCCGTGAAGGGTGGGTGTTGCCCCCAGGCACGGACAGTGTCCACGCACCAAGCCTGGGGGGAACTGGCTACTCCGGCGTTCCTTCCCTCCCCGAGGCTCCCCAGCATCCCGAGTGATTTTCAGAGCTAACTGTCCTGCAGGAGGAATTCCAGTATCACCTGCTCTGACACATGCCTTGAACTCTGCAAACGCGTGAGAACACATGCACAGGGAAACCTCTTTCTTGAAAGGACACATCAGAGGAAAGTGAAATGCGGTACGATCATAAAGCACGTCCCGTCCGAACGCAGGCCGGTGCCTTCGGGTCCGGGAGCCTGCTGCGCAATTACGCCCAAGTCAGATCAGAAAGGCGCTCTCAATTCCGGCCGTCAGCGCCACCCTGACGGCCGACATGGCAGAGCAGCACGGGAGGAGGGCCATCGCCGCCTACCGTGAAGGTCTTCCTGGCATACGGGGCCCCGGGGGTCAGCAGCTCCTCTGCCGTGACGGGCCTCTTCAGCACTGCGGGACAGACACAGTGTCAGGCCCGGCGCCAACATGTGCTGCAGCTGCTGGGTCTGCAGGGGTGCCGCCCTGCCCGCCACCTCCTTCTGCCCCAGGGGCCTCCTCGGCCTCGGCCCACCCGGGGACCCCCTGGGCTGCACTCACCGGACTTGGGGTTGCAGAGCACGGGGGGGCTGCTGCCGAGCGGGGGGCTGCTGCTGAAGTAGCCACTGCCACTGCTGCTCACACTGCTCCTCCGCCCCACGGATGCGGCCTTGACCTCCTGGCTGGGGCTCACTGCGGGCGGGAGACGCCGTCAGAGGCACGCGGCCAGAGAGACACAGAGACATGCAGTCAGAGACATTCAGTCAGAGGGACAAGGTCAGAGAGACACGGTCTGACAGGCACAGAGACACGCACAGTCAGAGGCTTATGGTTGGAGACACGCAGTCAGAGAGACACAGTCAGAGATGCAGAGAGACACAGGCATGGTCAGAGACATGCAGTCAGAGAGACACGGTCAGACAGACACAGTCAGGAACACGGTCAGAGACATGAGGTCAGAGAGACACAGAGACCCAGGGTCAGAAAGATACGGTCAGATAGGCATGGTCAGAGACGTGGTTGGAGAGACATGGCAGGAGACACACGGTCACGTCAGGGGAGGAGGGTGGGCTCACCTCCCCAGCACGCGGCTCCTGGCTTCGAGACCCAGCAGGCCAGAAAAAGCACTCTGGCCGCGCGGTCAGAAAAGCAAGATCGGGAGTAGCAGCTCTGCCCCTCGCAGGGCAGCCTGGGCATTCTTGGCGGTTCCCCGAGCCTCGGGCTCCCTGACGGCAAGGCTGAACAACGCTGCCTCACAGGCCGCACGCAAGGAGTGGATGCGGCTGTGCACACGGAGCGACGCACTTCAAGATCTGCATGGCCTTGCTGAGCAGCCCTGCTGCAATGAGCTGAAGCGCAGGCCGCCCGCTGGAGGGGTCCACGGCGGCCAGAATGCCTTTCCACTCCGCACGAGACCACGCGCTCCCCTGGAGCCAAGGCGGAAGGGGCTGCAGACACAGCGCGCAGACCAGCATGGTGGTGGTGTGTCTGCAGTCCTAGCCCTCGGGAGGCTGAGGCAGGAGAACCGCTTCAACCCAGGAGCTCAAGACCAGCCCGGGCAGCATAGCAAGACCTCATCTCTACAAAAAATTCTGAAAATTAGCCGGGCATGGTGGTGTGCACCTGTAGCCCCAGTCACTCAGGAGGCTGGGGCAGAAGGACCACCTGAGCCCAGGAAGCCGAGGCTGCACTGAGTCGTGATCATGCCCCTGCACTCCAACGTGGGTGACGTGGAGTGACACCCTGTCTCTAAGAGATACAAAAAATATCAAACGGGAAGACAATCAGAAGACTGAAGCGGAAGGATCACCAGAGGCCAGCAGATCGACGCTGGGGAGGCCGTGAGTGTGCCACTGCGCTCTAGCCTGGACGACAGAATGAGACTACGACTCAAAAAAACAAAAGCTACGATAGCACAACTCAGAGCACATGCTGAGGCTGTGACATGAGGGCAGTGCCTTCCACGCTCTGACTGGCTTCTCCGTCAGCGCAGGTGGGCTCTCAACAGGGAAGCGGCTGATGGAATGAGCAACACAACAAAGCGCCCGCAGAGTCAGGTTCACAAGCACCGAAGCAGCGCCGGCATCGCTGGTGCTCCTGGCTGCTCCGTTCTCCTCTCCAGTATCGGGACGGGGGCCAGAACCAGGCAAACCCCAGCAGTGGCGGGTGGACAGCCACCTGGAGAGACACCATGGGGCCGCCTGGCCTAGACCCCCGGGGAGCCCCTGGGGGGCCCCAAGAGCCTCCAGGAACCTGGGCCCAGCTCCAGCCACCAGTCTTGCCCCCAAGGCTCTGTCTCACACTCTGCCACCTGTGTCTGGGGAACGGAGTGCTGGGGTGGGGAGGGTGGCCTGGCGGGGGTCGTGGGGAAGACGAAGCCGCGCGAGACCCAGCTCGGTCACCGCTCTGGCCTGGGGAGGCCCCTGACGCTGTACACCTTCTCTTAGGCATGGCAAGAACTAAGCGAGCCATCAGGGAGGAGGCCTGGCTTGTGCCGTGCACAGACTGCTCCAGGCGGGGCTGTCCAAGTGTTCTCGCCATCACCTCCACGAGGCAGGATGTGACAGGCTTGCTCTGGGCTGGTCCCACAGGGGCTTTCAGAGCTTAAGCCCACCCCTCTCTGGAGCGGGGGCTGCGTCTGCAGAGCTGCTGAAGACGCCCCGGAGCGCCCTCCATGGGCGACGCGTGCTTCGGTTCAGTCACGGGCAGTGGGGCTGCCCTCAGGGACGCCAGCCACCACATCCACAGGGAGGCCCACCCACCCTGGGCCATCTGGCTTCTGGCAGCGCCCGCCACGGTGCTTGGAGTGTCCTGTCTGCCGCTCACAGGCTCTGCTCGCCGCCGCTCCTGGTGCCGAGGGCCTCAGCCACCTCTCGCTGTCCCCACACCTCTGCCCACAGATGTCTTTTCATCACTCTCAGAGTGTCTCAGAGTAGACAGTTTTCCAAAGTGGTGCTGGACAGAACTGAATCAATGACACGCTGGAGTGGCTTGGAAATAAGGTATGAGTGAGAGCCCGCAAGGTCTGTTGTAGACCAGGACGTCGTTTACAGAGCAGAACCTGGGCCTCTAAGTGGCTGCCCAGGACAGCTGGGGGGCTTTTGTTCGTTTGGGGGTGTTCCTGCCTACTTCTGAATTATGGAAAATGAAACACGCTTGAGAACAAAACCGTACGAGGCGAGCCGCCAGGCGACCACCCGAGAAGACAAGCACATGCACCCGACGTGGGCCTACCCGACATAAAGCTGGCGGACTTGCGGCGGTCCTGGCTCTGCCGCCGCAGGCAGAAAGGGCTGTCGTGCGCCTCCTGGGAGGACGGGGACTTCTCGCTGAGCAGCTCCATCAGCCGCCGGCGGCGCCGGAAATTCATCCTGAACTGGTAGAGGAGGTTGCTGTCCACGAACGGGTGCTTGTTGGATACTGGCGGCAAGAAAGCAACGAGGCCGTCAGACTCCAGCCAGCGGGGCGAGTCCCGGGAAAGGGCTCTGTGCCACAGGCACCGCAGGGCTCATGGCCAGCCACACGCGGACGGGTTCCACCCACGGGTCAGGTCTCTTGACATTTGCTGGCAGGGCTTGGTGGCTCAGCCTGGCATCCCAGCACTTAGGGAGGCCAAGGTGAGTGGACTGCCTGAGCCTGCAGCTTCGAGACCAGCCTGGGCAACCTGGCAAGACCTCGTCTCTACAATGCATCAAAAACTGGCCGGGTGTGGTAGCGCGTGCCTGTGGTGCTGGCTCCCTGGAAGGCTGAGGCGGAAGGATCACTGGAGCCCAGCAGGTTGACGCTGGGGTGGCTGTGAGCGTGCCACCGCACTCCAGTCTGGGCACCAGAGTGAGACTCCAACTCATACAAAACAAAACAAAACATTTGCTGACCAGCTCTTCTGGGGATGGTCAAGGGACTGGAGCTGGAGGCGCAGCTAAGTGCAGGGTTACCTTCTGAGGTGATGGAACATTCTAAACTCACCTGTCTTGCTGATACATAACACTGTGAAGGTGCAAACCCCATGGGACAGCACACGTCAAACGGGTGAATCGTGTGGGGTGTGAAGCCACTCTTAGTAAAGCTGTTACAACCCACAGTGACAGAGCACAGGGAACTCCCTTCCCTCTCCAGGTCCCCTCCCTGGGGACCTCACACAAATGACCATAGGACAATATAAGTGGGGACACTGACGCTGGGACAGTCTGCAGGCCTATTCAGATCCACCAGCTCTGACACACCCATGTTGAGTGTGTGTGCACATGAGCACGTGTGTGTCCGCCTGCACACGTGCAGGGACTTGTGCAACTTCCTTGACAGCCGGGACACACACGGTTCCATCGTGAAGAGGAGGCCCACGCCATGGGACCCTCCACAGCCCCCTCCCCTGAGGCCCGACCGCCTGGCAACCGCTGACATGTGCAAGATGGGGGTCGTTCTGAGAACATCACGGAAATGAAAGCAAACACTGCCACGCAGTGAGTGAGGGTGACTCTTCTTGCCCAGCGTTGGATGAAACGATGGCAAAAACAGAGTTTACCAAAAAAACCCAACATCCTTTTTCTTGGCTGTGAAATTCAAAATTCTATACACCACTAGGACTGTCCTCATGCATCTTATGTATTATTACATGTGTACTCACCTTCCCTTTAGATAAGACAGAAGAGGCAGGAAGTCTCTCCCGCTTAAAAGCAAAGCTTTGCATTCTGGAACTGTTTTGGATGTAAAGAAGTGCTGCCAAGGCAGTGCAGGCAGCTTACTCATGCCCTTCACCTGGCACGCCTGACACGCGCACAGCCAAGCACACACGTCGAGACGAAGGCACTCACACTGCACGCTCCCGGGCCTGAGTCTCGCCTGCAGTGAAAGGAGCCATGTGGGCACAGGAAGAAGCTGTTTCGTGACGCCCACGCGCCCAGTCTGTCATGAGAGGCCCTTGTCCTTGTGGCTGGAGACACTGACGGTGTGTCCAAGACTACCTCCCTTCCTCCTCCCATAGACTCACCAGCAGCCTTCCATCAGGCAGTCACATGACCCAGTTCTGGCCCTAGAAATGCAGGCCGAGACCCAGGCAGACCACCCTGCCCAGGTGAAGAGGTAACTCTTGCTAGGTACCCATCAGGCAATCTTCACCTGCCCAGGTCCAGCCAGGAGCCCTAGAGTGACTGAGCAGAGTCTCACTCGATACCCAGCAGGCCATCTTCACCTGCCTGGTGCACCCAGGAAGGAGCCCTAGGGACACTAAGCAATCTCATGTGATACCCGTCAGGCCATCTTCATCTGCCCAGGTGCAGAAGGGGGCGGGGTCACTGGGACCGGCAGGGAGAGACGGATGGGGCCAGCAGGGGCCTCAGCCTGGATTCTAGCCGGGGTGAGGTGGGGGATGGGTGTCTTGCCTCAGAACAGGAGGAACCTACCGGCACGGCAACATTTTCTGCTGTTTGCGGCCCAGACGCATCCCGAGCTCAGGTCTGGAGGCCCGAGGTAAGGGCTAGGGAAGCAAGCAAGTGTACCCTGCTTATGGGATGCCCACACCACGTCAAAGACAGTGCCCTACTCAGAAGCACGGAGAGGTCAGAAAGAAGGACCCCCAGTCGGGGGTGTGTGTGATCACTGTGTCTGTGATCACTGTGACCCTCACCTCCCTACAGAACGGGTGTGTGCAGGCCCTGGTCTCGAGGTTCCATCTGTGGAAAAGCAACCAGAGTCCCTTATTCTTCTATCCAAAGCCAGGGACGCTAATAAACACATAGAAGCCAACAGCTCCTGGAAAGTCTTGGTGTGGCCAATACACCACCAAAAACGCTGCTCTTCTGCCTGCAAAACCCGGCAGGACCCCGAGGTAAGGACCAGGGTGAGAAAAGCACCCTGTACATGCTGGGTCATGTACCGGCCAAAAGAGAACTCCCCAGATCAGGGCCAATCCGAACAATGGCAGCCAGCTATCTGACTCATGGAAACATTTAAAAATCAAAGGTAAGAACAGAGTGGAAAGAAAAAGTAGAAACGGAAGCTGTAAACACGACAGATGCCTAAACACAAATCAAGCAAAAGAACTGGGTGTCCGTTCCGTCTGGTGGCCACACGTGGGCAGTTTTATGGGACACTGTTTAATCTTCAAGAGAACCCAAGAGCTCAGGCCAGCGGCCCCCAGGGCAGGAGGCAGCTGTGGTCTGGACCTTGGACTCGTTTCCAGCTCTGCCACTCACGGAGCTTTCTCGGGGTGACTTCCGACTCTCTTTGGGCTGCAGCTTCCTCACCAAAACCGGGGAGAGAAGGCAGGCACGACCGAAAAATCCTCACGCTGGGAATGCGGGACACCCGCTGTCACCAACACGGCTGGCCCCTCCGTTTGTTCAGGGGCCCGAACTGGCACACAGAACGCAGACTTGAGGAACCTCGGTCCCAGAGGAGCAAAGGTTGCCGTGACGAGGGCATGCTCCCCAGGTTCTGGTCCCGAAAGGCCTGTGGAGCTGTGTTCTCCAGACCGCAGCCCCCAGCCTGGAGCCCCGCATGAGGCGATCTCCAGACTTGGGAAAATTTGCATGAAAAAGCATAAAACAGCACATCAATTTTCTTCATAAAGACTGTATTTCAAGATGGGAATATTTTGAAGACAGGGAGTGAAAGTGTATTCCAAAGACTGATCTCTTCCCACTCTGTTTGCTACGGCTACTGGAAAGAATAAAGCCACCCGTGAGGACTGTGTCTGTGGCGCGGGCCCCATCTCCACAGCAGCGCTGGTCTGGTGGCCCCCAGGGACAGGTCAGCCACAGCAAGTCCACCCCTCGTGGGTGCGGCACCCTGAGCAGCCTCGGCCACGGGAGGGCACCATCCTGTACTCAGGACAGGCACGCAGGGGTGGTGCTTCCTCATACTCCTTGCCGTCACCCCTGTCCCCACGTCCTGGCAACCCCCAGGAGGCTGCACTCTCGCTCTCGGCAACGAGGAGGGGCCTAAGATGGAGGCTGCTGGGCACACCGGGAGTGGCTGAGACAAGATGTGAAGAACACGGACCTGCCTTGTGGCCTCCTCAGAGGAGAGGAGAGAGGGAGGGAGCTCTTCCTTGACCAAACGTCGCACTCGGAGGAGCAGGAGGGTGACGGTTGCTCTTTGGAAAAAGAGCTAGGAGATAGGCTTGAGGCTCTGACATTGTATGCTAATTTAAAATAGCATGCAAATGATTTTTTAAAACATTACTCTCCAAATTAAATCAAACATGGTTAAGAATGTTAATCAACACACATCTTTTTCCAGTTGCAATCAGGGTGTGTGTGTGCGTGTTTATGTGTGCATACATGTGTGTGTCTTTCTTAACTTTCAGCTTAATGGTTCCACAGTCCCAATGATAAGAGTTCACCAGAGGGGGCATACCTCATCAACAAGGGTGCCTGCATAATGAACTTTTGTACACTAACCCTGAATTGTACCCCACATCTTTAAAATAAAAGCATTTAAGAAAAAGAACAGGGTTCACCAGAGTCAGCCTCACTCCTGGTTGTGCTCTGTGACACTAAGACACCTGGGCGTGTTCATGCATTCCTGGCTGGAGCAGGGGGAACAGGGAACACGTGTGACAGAAAGAAGGAGTTTTCCAAAAGAACCGAGAACTAAACAGAGAAGACAGCCCAGACCCGCTGTCTGGGGTGGGGATCAGCTAGAGAAACTGAGGTGCAGCCAGGGGCTGAGAAGCAGAGCCAGAAGCTGCTGGGAAAGTTCTAGAGGAAGGCCCTGGGAGGTGGTGGTGTGGCAAGGGGGCGGCGCTGCGGGGACCACTGCGGCCACTGCATGTGCGAGCCCAGCCCCGGCAGGATTCCCGCCCGGAGCCCGTCCGGTTGGGGCGACTGACACGGGTGCGCAGCCAGGAGTGCCGGGCAGGGCAGAGCTGGAGAGCAGCCGGTGCGGGACGGAGGGTGGACGCAGTTCCCCGCCTAAGGGCAGGCTCTCAAGCTTGGCCCAGCTCCAGCCTTCAGATGCCAGGATGAGCACCGCAGCGCCTCTGACCGGAAGGGAAGGAGCTCATCAGAATCCCGCTTCCTGCACACTCAGGAGGCCTGACACGTGCTTCCAGTCAGCCGAGAGCCCTGCCTGCACGTCCCACCAAGACGACCCCTTGCGCTCAGCGGAGGACTTGAGCCACCGAGAGGCCACGTGGTGCTGGCTGTGAGGCTGGCTGTTTTGACCACCCCACTCAGGGGGAGCTGGTGCTGAGGACTGACTTCCCTGTTCTCTTGCCAAGCGCCTGTCCGGGCGCATAGAACCGCACACTGTGACAGCACCAGGGCGGGCGCCAGGTGCCAGGCAGGAAGGTCAGGAGCTCAAGCCTCAGAGCCAAACACGGGCTGTAGTGCGAGCATCCGTTTACACACGACAGAAAAAGCCACAGCAATGTTGAGGACAGCAGTTCTCACAGCTGCGACACATCCACGAGGGAAGAA